ATATTCCATTGTGTATATATACCATATCTTCTTTATCCATTCATCTGTTGATGGATATTAAGGTTGTTTCTATGTCTTGGCTATTGTAAATAGTGCTGCTATGGACCTGGGGTTGCATGTATCTTTTTGAATTGTAGTTTTATCTGGTATATGCCCAGGAGTGAGATTGCTGGATCACATGGCAACTCTAGTTTTATTTTTTGAGGAGCCTCCATACTGTTTTCCTTAGTGATTGCACCAATTTATATTCTTACCAACAGTAATTCTTACCCTTCTCTCCACACTCTGTCCAGCTTTTACTGTTTGTAGATTTTTTTGATGATGGCCATTCTGACTGATGTGAGGTGATACCTCATTATAGTTTTGATTTGCATTTCCCTAATAATTAGCAGTGTTGAGTACCTTTTCATGTACCTATTGGTCATCTGTATATCTTCTTTGGAGAAATGTCTGTCAAGGTCTTCTGCCCATTTTTCCATTGGACTGTTTGGTTTTTTGTTCTTGAGTTGTATGAGCTGTTTGTATTTTTTAGTAATCAAGCCCTATTGGTTGCATCATTTGCAAATATTTTTTCCCATTCCATAGGTTGTCTTTTTTTTTTAATGGTTTCCTTTGCTATGCAAAAGCTTATAAGTTTAAGTCACATTTTTTGTTTGTTTGTTTTTATATCTATTGCCTTGGGAGAGTGACCTAAGAAAACATTGTTAGGATTTATGTCAGAGAATATTTGCCTATGATATCTGCTAGGAATTTTATGGTGTCATATCTTATGTTTAAGTCTGTAAGCTGTTTTGAGTTTATTTTTGTGCATGGTGTGAGGGTGTGTTCTAACTTCATTGATTTACATACAGCTGTCCAGGTTTCCCAGCACCACTTGCTGAAGAGACTGTCTTTTTTCCATTTTACATTATTGCCTTCTTTGTTGAAGATTAATTGACCGTTGATATGTGGGTTTTTTCTGGGCTCCCTGTTCTGTTCCATTGATCTATATATTTCTGTTTTTGTGGTAATAGCACACTTTTGATTACTATAGCTTTATAGTATTGCCTAAAGTCTGAGAGCATTATGTCTCCTGCTTTGTTCCTTTTCCTCAGAATTGCTTTGGCAATTCTGGGTCTTTTTTGGTTCCATGTAAATATTAGGATCATTTATTCTAGTTCTGTGAAAAATGTTATGGGTAATTTGATACGGATCTCATTACATCTGTAGATTGCTTTGAGTAGTATGGCCATTAAATGCCAGTCTCCCTTAGCTGTAGGTTTCCTGAGGACAGAGGCCAGGTCTGTGTTTTTCCAACATTTTAGCGCAAGAGCTAGTCCAGTGACTGGTACCTAGTAGGTACCCAGTATATCTGACGAAAGGAAAGAAGAGTTTGAGTGGCTTGCTCAAGATCATCAAGATAGTAAGTGACAGAGGATGGAAGTGCAGTCTGTCCACTGTGTAGCCCCTGGAGCGCTTTCCACACTGAGGCATCAGGCTCTTGAGGTTAAAGCGGAATCTTCCTGCCTGTACTTTACCTCACTCAGCCGGAGGCCTCCTACAGTCTCAGGGGGCTCTGTGAACTCTTGGTTGCTGGGACCTTCCTGACTTGATAGACTCATCTGATAAGTTTGTTGAAACATTGTGGGATTTGACCCTGCTGGCCTGTAGCTGCACTAGCTTGCAGGGAGAATGGAAAAGCTAGAGCCCTAATAGAACTTTGCCTCGGTGTCCCTCCTACTCTCATCACCTCATGCAGGTTCTGTCTGATGCTATATCCCTGCCCCAGTATCCTGGGGCAGAACTTGGAGTGGCTTGAGGTTAAGTTCTTCCTCAGAGCTCTCCTGTCCTGAGTTGGAGGGTTCCCCTTTCTCACTGCCAATGCCATGGGCTCGAGTGAGTGGTGGTGTTTCTGTGCTGCACAAGTGTGCAAGGATTTGGTGCCAGAGCTGGGCTCACACTTCTTGGTCTCTCTTTTCGCTGTTCAGTTGATGTGCCTAGAAATACTCAGGCAGGCACATTAAGAGCCATCAGCCTCTTGAACTCTGGTGGAGTCTCTCTCAGAGGTCCCCTCAGCACAAACATTCAGATTCCTGCTTTGGAGAAATGCTGCTAGTGGGCTCCCATGGGTTTGGCTTTACCCTAAATCTCACTTATCCTTTTGCACCCTCGATACACAAATCAAAACCTTTTGAATTATTGGCCCTCACTGAGCTAAGTAGCTGCATTTCTGCAGTGTTCAGATGTCAGTGGACATCTTGGGTAGGGCTTGGGTTAGGAGTCAGGGGGTCTGGGTTCTTATCACAGTTAGTTTCTTTCCTTTCTGGGCTTTGGTTTCCCCAGCCATGGGGCTGCTCTGGTGTTCTGTGACAGTAACAAGCTCACCTTGGGCCACTTCAGACATTCTTGCAAGATTGTGAGGGAGGGTTGAAGGCAGGAAACTATATTCATGGATTCTTGGGTCTTCTCTGCCTTCTATCCCTGAGGACTTTTGGGAGTCAGGAGAGGCCATTTATCATAAGGGCTGCTTGAAGTGAGAGAAGCCGCATGTGGAGTGGAGGTTGTGGCAGATATAGCTGTGTCCTCCCTATTCCCTGTCCCAGCTCCTTCATGCCCACCCTTCTTCCACTGTTGTCCCTCAACCAGCTAACAGTCTGTGAAGTTTTCAGAAGACAGTTGCTTGGAAACAAAAAACAGAGCAAACTCAAGTTAGGAAAATAACAGTACAAAAAAGGCTAAGTATAATCTATTTACCTTTATAGGTACAGATCAAGTTGTAATAATAAATACAGAAGCCTTTTAAAGAATTAATTTTACAGTTTTGCAAGATGTGAAAGTTCTGGAGATGAGCTGCAGATCAGTGTGAATATACTTAACTGACATTGCCAAACTGTATACTTAAAAATAGTTAAGATGGTAAATTCTATATTATGTGTGTTTTACCATCATTTTTAAGACAATGAAAAGGAAAAAACAATAGTTTCAACAAATAAAATTCAAGTCTTTTATTCTTGGGATCAAGGGGAAATGCTATGTAGCTATTGAATAATAAACCACACGGAAAGTATGCAAAATTTTGAATTTCTTTTTGGAGCATGGAATTGCTCATTCACTGTGATTAATCATGGTAATAAATAATCTTTTAAGGTATGGGCATACCTTTTTTTATTGTGCTTTGCTTTATTGTACGTCGCAGATAGTTTTTTGTTTTGCTTTTTGCAGATTGAGGGTTTATGACACCCCTGCATCAAGCAAGTCTGTCAGCACCATTTTCCAACAGCCTTTGCTCACTTTGTGTCTCTGTGTCACATTTTGGTGCTTCTGGCAATATTTTGAATTTTTTCATTATTATTTGTTATGGTGACCTGTGGTCTTGGATGTTCCTGTCATAGTTGGGTTTTTAGACATAATGCTATTGCACACCTAGTAGTAAGTAGAAACATAACGTTTAAATGCACTGGGAAACCAGAGAATTTGTGTGACTCACTTTATTGTGGTGTTCTGGAATGGAACCCACAATATCTCTGAGGTTTGCCTATTGTATATGTTCATTAAGGAAAATTTGAGTACAGAAAAGTGGGCAAAATAAAAAACACCCATTTATAATCCTACTACCAAGACATCACTGGCGTGAATATTCTCATACATTTCCTTCTGACCTTTTGATAGATTTGCTTGCTTGACTTTACATATGGTACCAACAGTACTGTGCCTCCAATTTTGTACCCTGCTTTTGACACTTAAATGTTGTATCTCAAGCTTCAGTTGACTCACTGCCTGTCTAGCCCCTTGAGTGGGTGCCACAATTTATTGAAGCATCCTTCTGTTGTTGGTCATTTATGGTTCTTTCCATTTCTTTGCTTGTTTTTGTTTGCTTTTTTTTTTTTTGCTTTTTTGGGAAAATATATATAGCATAAAATTCACCATTTTAGCCATTGTTAAGTGTGCTATTTCCAAAATTTTTGATCATCCCAAACAGAAGCAATAACCCATTTCCTCCTCTCTACCACTGGTTGCCTCTGTTCTATTTTCTGTCTATGAATTTGTCTATTCTAGATATTTTATAGAAATAGACTCATGTATCAGTGCAATGTTTATCTTTTTGTGTCTCACTTGTTTTACTTAGCATGTTTCCAAAGTGCCTGCATGTTTTGGCATGTATCAGAACTTCATTATTCTTGTGACTGAGTAACATTTCATTGGAGGGATAGACCCCATTTTGTCTATCCATTCTTCTGTTGATGGACACTTGGGCTGTTACCACCTTTTAGCTATTTGTGATTAATGCTGCTAATGAGCATTGGTGTACAAGTGTGGGGTTAGGCCCGGTTTTTATTCTTTAAGAGTATTATCTAAGAATGGAATTGCTATGTCATATGGTATTGCTATGTTTAACTTTTTGAGAGGTTGCCAGACTCTTCACTTCTTTAGTTATAAATAACATTTAAATGAGTATCTGTATGCATGAAACTTTTTTGATATTTTTTTAAAAGAAATTTCTTTGAATTTCTTAAGGTGAAGTTAATGGGTTAAATGGTGTGGCAGTTTGAGACATCATGCCAAATGCTGTTCAGATGGGTTGAAGCTGTTTTACTGCTGCCACAAGTGCCTGAAAATGTCCTTGTCACCCAACCACCATTGCACCAGGTGTTTCACTGGTGTGCGTCTTGGAGAAGAGATGTTGCCCATCTGAGGGAACCACAGTGTGGCTACAGAGTGGCTTAGCTGACGTCGTTCCCTGTCAGCAGCCCTGAACTCTTCTCCCTGCCTGTCTCCTTGCCCTGATGCTGACCAGACCAGTCTTCAGATTCTCTCTGATCTGACTTCCCAGCCCATCTCTGGTCTAGTCCCCATCTGCCCCACAGAGATGAGGATGATTGACAGTGAGATACTCTCCAGCTCAGGATCCTCTACCTGCCGTGTCACGTTCTCTCAAGAAGACCCCAGGCCTCGCTGGTATCGTCCCACTTTGGTTGATTCTCACGTCTTTTCTGTCTTTTCCTCCTCCTCTTCTCTCCCAGTTCTACAGCGAGTCGGGCATGCCCACCAAGCACCTCTCGGACAGTGTGTGTGCCGTGTGTGGGCAGCAGATCTTTGTGGATGTCAGTGAAGAGGGCATCATCGAGAACACATACAGGCTGTCTTGCAATCACGTGTATCCTGCCTGGAGCTCCTGGGCTGCCTTTCTCACCACGTGCACGCTCCAGTCAGGGAGGGAAGGGACCGTCATGACCCTGGGCATGCCATCCAGACCTTTGAAGGGAGGGGAGTCACATCTGGGTGATGTCCTCTGATAGGGAAGCCAATCCCAGGGAATGGAAACGGCTGCCTCCTTTGGTCTTTCTCACAGATGGGAGCCACTCTTGCGTAAACAGCATGTATAGCCTGGCCAGGTCAGAATGGAGCCTCAGCTACACTAGCTGCTGCAAGTTTGGGTCAGTCACCAGGGAGGAGCATCCGTTAACTGGTTCCCTCAGTGTTGGAGTCAGGTGCCCCTGAAGGGCACCTCTGACATTTACCACGTCCTTACTCGGCTCCCATCCTATGCCGTGTGCTCTCCATTTTGCCCAGAGAGGCCCTGTAAGGCAGAGTTCATTAACCTCACTTCACGTATGAGGAAGCAGGGCCAGAGGTGCACATCAGCTTGGCCCAGATGATACAGCCGGTAAGAGGTGAAGCCAGGGTTTGAACCTCCCTCCAGAGCTAGGGCCTGGACACTGGGAAGCCCGTCTCGGGGCTGGAGTGCCATCCTAGCTGCCCACCCTTTCCCTTGACCCGTGGTGCTCAGATTCCACGAGTTCTGCATCCGCGGCTGGTGCATCGTGGGAAAGAAGCAGACGTGTCCCTACTGCAAAGAGAAGGTGGACCTCAAGAGGATGTTCAGCAACCCGTATCCTTTCTGGGGTCTCGTTGGGAGTGGGCAGTGGTGAGAAAGTACTGGCATGCATTCAGGTGGGTCTTGGGGCGCTCCTCCTGCCCCCAGTCTTGTACCTGCCCACCAGTCCATTTGGCTTGTGGTCTAGGGAGGTGGGTAGGATGTGGGGCAGGACCAACAGCTCAGCTTCTCACCATTCAGGATCCCTCAAGGGTAGATGGGCAGTGAGGGCAGCTTCCTCCGCCTGCCTGCTTACTATGCACCTGGTGGCACTGTGCCAGGTGCTTTCCTTCTCTGAGCTCACTCAGTTCTCTAGAGCCTGTGACCTGGGTGATGGTATCCTCATGTTACCAGTGAAACAGTTTCAAGGATGACTGACCTTCTCACGGTGATATAACTAACGTGCGATATCTCACCTATGACAGGCGGGGCTGGAGACCAGGCCTGTCCCCTCCGCTATGAACACAGGACCTGTGCTGCTCTCAGCTGCCCCTGCCCCATTTCCCCTGGATCCAGGGACCTCTCCCAGTTGCCCTTTCTCTCTGCATGGGGGTTTCCTGGCCCCTGGATACTAGCTGGGCTTTGGAGGGCCACGGTGTTCCTCTTTATGGTTCCTTGCTTGGTGCTTTTGGAGTCTAGTTCAGTAACTCCATGGTCAAGCTGAGGGTCGGGGCTTCTCTTTGTTCTCAGTACTGGGCTGGACTGTGGTTCCTGATGCCCTCAGAGGGACTCCCCACAGTCTTGTGAAGTCTGTGCTTCCATGGAGCTGGATTCCCAGGCTCCCTCTCCAGTGTCTTTCCCGGCAGTGGATTGTAAAGTGGAGAGAAGGGATTCCTCTCCAGGGTGCTTGGCCTCAGTAGGGGCTCCATGTCCAATGCCCGGGGACGGGGCTCCTTGGAGCCTATCTACCAGCAGTTATCCCCTGTGACCAGCCTCTTGCTCTGCCCCTGTATGCCTCTGTCCCCACACTCAACCCCTTCCTTGACCTGCAAAACTTCCCATTTTGGACAAGAACCTTCAGATTACCTTATCTCTCTCCCCATCTTCCCGAAGCCATTGTCGTGAGAAATCTACAGCATTCTCAGGCTCACTGGCAGTCCCAGCTTAGAGAGGGGTTCACACAGAGCCCTCTCTGTCTGTCGGCCATGGAGAGCTTCATTTCACCGCTCCACCCTCTGCCTTACCTGTCCGGTCCTCTGCACTGATCCCCTCTACCCCACTTCCCCCATTCTCTGGTTTCAGCCCTGTGTTCCAACACGGAGAGGTTGGGCGGGGCTTTCTAGAAAGCACCTTTCTTTGTAGGCTGATTTCTGTGAAGCATCTGGAATGTGTAGGCAGACCCTCTCACCCATCCCCTAGGCCAGCCTCAGCGTCTCGAACATGTGGCCTCTTTTCTTTAACACACTGACAGCTGGGAGAGGCCTCATGTCATGTACGGGCAACTGCTGGACTGGCTTCGGTACTTGGTAGCGTGGCAGCCTGTCATCATTGGCCTGGTGCAAGGCATCAACTATATTCTGGGCCTGGAATAGTCAGGAAGAAGAACATCCACCCACCATGGACCTCAGGGCACTCTCCTCCCTGCCCTCCAAGACCTCCTGGGTGGGAAAGACTCAGAGGGGCACTGGGCCACTCAGGACTCCCCCGGCTGTGTCCGGGCTGGGGAGGGAGGTGATGGAGAGCCAGCCAGTGGGGCTGTCAGCAGTGGGGGCTTTTTAAAAGAAAACTATTTTGATGAATATATTTAAAAACCTTTTTTATTGTGGAGCTTAGGAATTGCCCCAGTTCTTCCAGGCCTCACCTCCCTGCCTGAGCAGGGCAGGAGCAGAGCCACAACACTTTTGATGTAAAGGAGCCATCTTACCTCTGGCTGTGAGTCCCAGGCCCTGCCCCCCTCTTCCTTCCATGCGTGGGGCTCGAGCCTGGTTCACTCAGTGAGGAAGGGCCAGAGAACTGTGGCCGGTGCCACTGAAGAGCACTGGGGGTGAATTGTCCTTCCTCCCGGTTAAGACCATGGGCGGGCCTTCCCTGCTCGGGGGCCATAGGCTGGTGGAGGCAAGTGAAACCCTGTCATGGCTTTTCCAGTGAGGGAAGCCCTGACCTCGGAATTCCCTGAGAATTTGTTGGGGAACCTGCCCCTAAGCAGGGCTTACTCAGTCAGGAACAGAGACCATCTATACAGAGCAATGATTGAGGGCCACTTGTGCAAGCTGACGCTCTGCCCAGAAGTGGTGACATGTGCCGAATGCCACTGCCACATCACTTCCTTCCCTGCAAGCCCGAGTGAGTGTGTGTGTCCGTGTGTCTGCGGTGGAGGGACTGATAAGACGTGAGACTTCTTCCTGTAGTCACACGTTCTTCCCTTGAAGCTGCCAGGGGATTCCCAGCTCAAGGAATATCCTGTCAGCCCAGTCATCCCTGGGTTCTGCCTGGGCCCAGCAGCACGAGTGCTGGGGTGGCTGGGAAGAGGGTCAGGGCCAGGTGAGTATGGTGTCTGAACAGGGCTTTCAGGTAGGCCCCAGCTCTGGTCTTAGGGGTTTTGAAGGAAGTAGGAAGGCAAATTTGGACTTTCCATGCTGGGTTCCTAGGGAATATGGCCCTTCAGGTGCAGAAGGAACCAAGCAGGATCTTGTCATCTGTTCTTAATAAAGCTCCATGAGCTGGGTTGGAAAGCTGAACATCCATCTTGCTTTTCTTCTTCCCACCTCTTTCCCTGCGGTCCCCAGGCCTGCCTGGCCTCTGCTTCCTTTTTGCTCTTCCCATTTGAGAGCTGGGTCCTGCAAGTGGTGGGTCCTGTCCAACATTCCTGAGTGAGATGGCCTGCTGGGCTTCTGTCCTGTCACAGAAGGGGCCCTGGTTCATCACAGGGTGACTGTCCTCACGACCTGAGGTCAGTGCCCTGCTGCAACCACCCCTCTCCCCAGTCACTCTCTTACCCAACTGTGGCTTGCCCAACATGCCGCTCATGCCCATGGGCCCGTCCTCAGTGGATTGGGGCCTGGGGTCATCCTTTCACTTTTGTCCCTCCCCCCACATTAGGGCTTCCCTAATGTGGCTCAGCGGTAAAGAATTCACCTGCAATGCAGGAAATGCGGGTTCGATCCCCGGGTTGGGAAGATCACCTGGAGAAGGAAATGGCAACCCACTTCAGTTTTCTTGCCTGGAGAATTCCATGGACAGAGGAGCCTGGTGGGCTACAGTCCAGGGGGTCACAAAGTCAGACATGACTTAGTGAATAAACACCCCCCTCCACATCAGGTCATGTGAGGAGCCAAGGCCAGGCTCTCCAAGTCTCTCTGTCCATCCTTCAACAGTCCTGAGTACCATGACCTCCCAGCAGCCCAACTCTGGCCTTATTTACGCTCACAGGTAAGAGTCCTGTCTCCTCTCCCTCGCATCCCCACCTTCTTCCCCAGAGGACTGGGCCTTAGAAGCCCCAACAGTCTTGCCTCCTGACCTCCCTGCTGGAGACACTGGTGCTCCTAGGGAGGAGCTTCTCTGCATCTTTCAGCCCAGAAGCTCCTGGGCAGGCAGTGGGGGAGGGACTGAGAAGATGTGAGCTGGAGCCCTGGAGAAGAGGAGTTGACTTTTAGTCTCTGACATCTAAATTGGAAATGTATGGTTTTTACACACACACACAACACACTCACCCCTTGAGATTGCAGCCATGTTCCTGACGATTCTTCCAAACCTCATTCCATCTCTTGGCCTCCCTGGCTCTGTCTCCAGGACCCCATCCTCCTGATCCCAGACACTCAGGTCTGGTCCTTCATACCTGCTCCGTGGATCACCAGCCCTGGTCTCTCTGCCCCTGAGGCCACATGTGTGACCCTGACTTCTGTAGCTCTGTTGTTGCTCCAGCCAGTGCTAGATGTACCCACTCTTCCCCGGAAAGCATCCTCTCCTCCCCGTAAGGCCAGTGCTCCAGCTTGTGTTCCAAGCTTGTCTGAGAGGTTCCTGTGGAGGCTGGGATGTGTAGCTCCCACGGTGGGGCTCACGTGGGGCCAGACACAGCCAAACTGAGCTGGGGAGCTCTGAAAGGGGCGGCTTCCAGAAAACAGGGCTCTTCAGGGCTTCTTGGGAGCCAGGCAGGGGGAGACTAGACTTCCTGATGAGCTTAGATCTCTAGCTCCTCTGGCCAAGGAGCTGGGGTGACAGAAGTGAGAAGGATTCATGGGGGTGAGGGGCGGGTATTGGGTGGAGGGAGTGGGGAGCCTGAGAAAGGCCAAGATGTGGATGGGCTGTTGTGAGTCTGAAATGGTCCACTTGCTCCAACTTTGGGTCCCCAGTGCCTCAGACAGTTGTCCCCTTGAATATAGTGTGACTGAAGGAAGAAGCAGGAGGACTTTTCTGTTCACATAGAAGGGCAGAGTCTTGGGATGGAAGAATTCGTGTGTGAGAGACTTTCATTAGTTCATGGCCCTGTGCTTGGAGGGTGAGGCTGAGGATGGTTGAAGACCCCAGGCTGATACCACCTGAAGAGCAGGGGGCCTGGGAGTGAGTGAGAAGGTTCCCAGCCGCGGTGAGCTCCAGCTTAGCAGAAGGCGCGGTGTGCAGGGACCTTCGGGACTGGGTGCAGACTGCTGTGGAGTACATGTGTCTGCTGGTGGCCAGAGCCTGCTCTAGATCCCCTGCTTAAATAAAAGTGAAAGTAAAATAGAAGGAGGAGGCAGTGCTTTCCCAGAAGGATTTCACTATCTATCCTGCCCTTCCCAGAACAGCTCTGGCATCGGAGAGAATTTTTCCTCCCTTTGTGACTAGGTAAGTCCCTGGTCCTCTTTGGGCCTCAGTTTCCATCGTGTAATGAAGCATTTGATTGCACTAGTGATGAGTATAATGTTGATGGTAGGAAGAGCTAGGGTGGGGATCCGCCGGCTTTGTTTCTAGGGGCTGGAAGAGCCTGTGCTTGATACCTGTCCTCCAGGAGTTGTCAGTTGAGACAGGTGGACGGGGCAGAGTGGACAGTGCCTGGCAGCCCCCTGAAAACTCAGACGTAGGAAGGGGCTGTGGAGACCACAGAAAGGCTGTACTACTTGTGCCTGGAATCTGTAGGAGAAGCCGTTTGTCACGGTTGCCTCCCCCGCCTCCCCGGAGAGGAAGTTGTCACAGATATATAGAGCAAGGCACGGCAGCTCCTGACACAGTTCATCATGACCATGAGACACAGCTGGATTCCAGGTGGGCCCTGGGGCTGTGCATGTACGGGTGGAGGGGGTGGGGTGCAGCCTGAGACCAGAGAGGAGCCTGACCCCAGGTGGGTCCCCTCAGCTGCTGTGCTGTGACTTTCAGCCTCTGGATGCTGCGCTCTGGCTCCATTCCAGGGTCTCCCTGTGCTCCATTCAGAGAGCCAAGAGCTAGGGCTGGAGGGGTTCTTCTGCCCCACCCTTTCTCAACAGAGCCAAGAATCTGCCAGACTTAATCCTGGCAGCGGCTCCGTCTCCAAGTAAGAGCAGAGCTGGGATGCCGAGCAGTCCCAGGAGGTCAGACAGCTGTTGACCTCTGACTGTCCTCTCCTCAGACCCTAGCCCTCTTAGGGCCCTGCTCCTCTGTGCCCACATCATCTCCCACCTGGCCGGAGCCACACCTGTGCCTCAGGCCACCACAGCTGCCTCACCTGGGATGGCAAAGGATCCCTGCTCCTCACGGCCCCCAGCACTCCCAGCAGCTAAGCAGTGCCCAGCGTTGACAGTGACCTGGCCAGCAGTGGAAGTCTCACTGAGTAAGGAGCTATTCTAATGGGATGGGAGGGCACAGTGGTCCAAGGGCGGGCTGAGGGCACAGTGACACCAAGGGTGGGTTGGCCTCTGAGCATGCAGCCCCCAATCTTCTGCCACGTAGCCTGTCACCAACCAAGCAGCTCGGTTGAGCAGTGGGCATTCTCCCTCTCCCACCCAGCATTGCAAGTTGGTGCGGGGCTTAGCTCACAGCTCCCAAGATGCTGTCACGTGGGATGGAGAGGCCTCATAACAGAGGACTCCCAGAGCCCTGACTGAGGTGGCTGCAAGCCCAGCCCTTCCTCCCAGGGCCCACTTGCCCTCTGGCCTTCTCAGCTGAGCGATTGCCTACTGTGCTGCCTCCTTGGCCAGAGCTCCTAGAGTCACTGAAGCTGGGTGCTAGAAACCCTGGGGCCTTCTGAAGAAACCAGCTCAGGAGTCGAGGACCCAGATGAGGGACCCATCCCCAGATTCCTCTTGCTCAGCCTTCTCCTTGGACTTCCCATTCCAGATTCCTGAATCATGGGACAGGGTGGGCAGACCATGGCGGAGGTGCGAGGGTCTGCTCTGCAGAAGGACTAACAGCCACATGTGCCCCCAGATGGAACGCTGACATTGTCCTGTACTGCCTGCAGCCGTTTCCCCCACTTCAACATCCTCTACTGGCTGGGCAACGGCTCCTTCATCGAGCACCTCCCAGGCCGGCTGCGGGAGGGCAGCACCAGGTGAGGGCGCAGTGGTGAGGCTGGCTTGGGGGAGGCCGCCTGCTGCGGTCCTCTCACAGCCTTTCCTTCCTCTGCTCCAGGCGAGAGTACAGGGGCAAGTGGACCCAGCTGTGGAGACCGTTGGTGCTGGAGCTGAGCCCTGCCCTGCGAGATACCAACTTCTCCTGTGTTCTCATGGATCCTGGGCAGACTGTCCAGCGTCACCTTGTCCTGGCCCAGCTCTGGGTGAGGAACCCAAGGGAGGGCGTCCGGGACATAAGGAGCCCTGCTTCAGTGGAGGAAGGAAAGGGTGGGCTCTGCCCACAGCATCCTCCAGCTGATGTCCACTGATTGCCTGAGCCTGAGGTGGCAACTAAAAGGACCAGGACTCAGGCAGGAGATACATGGCCTAGAGGGAAGTTCTTCCCACCTTGGCCCTGATCCTGTTTGCTTCACTCCCCCAGGCTGGGCCGAAGACAAGTGTGCCCCCTGCCACAGGAAGCCCCACCCTCCAGCCAGGCCCCTCTGCTGTACCATCCCGACAGTGAACCCAAAGCTCCACCACCACCTGGTTCAAACACCACCTCTTTATTGAGGTCCAGGCCACAGTCTGCATCAATTTAATGTATTTGTTTCCTCTATGGGCTCCTGGGATGCGGGCAGAGGCTGCTTCTGACCCACAGCTGTGTCTCTGTCACCCCAGCAAGGCCCAAGGGGGGCATTCATAAACCATCTTCAATGGCAGCATCTGACGTGTGTCCAGTCACTTATTCTTTAGGCCGTCGTTCCACCACAGAACACGGCTCGTGCGAGGAGGGAGTATGGAATGAGAGAAGATGCCACTGTGAAGCTGAAGACAAAACCAGATTCAGGGACACAGGCCCTCACAAGAGGCCAGCCCGTTAACGCTCCTCAGGAGCAGAGGTCAGAAACAGAGGGGAAGATCCTGTGGCCTCAGAAAGGCTAGGAGAAGGGATTTGAGAGAAGGTAGGTGGTCTGGAGTTGCCCTGCTTCCCCCACACAGAATGAGGCATCTCAGCATTCAAGGGAGAAAAAATAGACTTTATTTACAAGTAATAACATTTAGAAAAGATCCATCTCTGGCCCTTAAAAACCTTCCCATCACTCCAAATCCCGCCCCAGCGCAAATCTGGGGAGGGTGGGCGATGGGAGCTGCCACTGAGGGCTGCCCCCCACCCCCCCAAGGTGCAGGGCCCTTCTCCTGGAAAAGAGCATCCTTTGGGCACCTGGGTCCTTGGGTGGATGGGTGCACCTGGGGGTGGGGTGCTCCCACTGGGCCACTGCCCAGTCCTGGACTTCAAGAGCAAGGGCCCTTGCGAGGCCCAGCGGCCAGGAGCAGCAGGGACCAGGGCCTGCTCCTCCAATGGTCCCTTCTAGATCCAGAGGCTGGGAGGACTGGCTAGGCCCAAGGACCCAGCCACACAAAGCCAGCCTCAAATCTGGTTACGATGGAGAAGTGACTTTACTCTAGGAGAACATCAGGAGGCAAGGAGGGAGAGGACCCAGACTGCCCAGGCTCTGGGCCACCCTTGAGGACACACCTGTTCACCTGGGGATGGGCCAGGTCCCGGCCAGGGTGTGGGCAGGCATCACTGTCTCTAGGATTTTGGCCACTGGGCCTGGGAGCTGAGAGAAGGCACTGAAAGGGACAGGAGGAGGAGGACCAGGCGAGGGCAGTATCAGGACACAGGTGGGGCCACTCACTGGTACTGGCTCTTCAGTGCTTCGCCTGGAAGAGACGGAGACAGCTGCTCAGTGCCAGCCTGCGCCCCCTCCTGCTCCCACACGCCCAGACTAGGGTGGTCCCCTTGCTGCAGCCCTGGACCCATCTACCACAGGTTTGCAGGGGCTGGTTTCACCTAAGCAGCTCTGCGTGTTTTATCCTCTGCTTTCCTCGATGAGGAGCAGCTAACCAGAGGGGAGCACCTGCTCTCAGCCCTTGCCCTCCAGGGGCCTACTCGGCCTGCCTAGGAGGAGCCCCTGGGTGGTTGGGTGGGGGTCACCCATGCTCCTCACTGGGTTTCTAGGAGCCGAACCCTCCCCCTTCCCTGTCAGTGCCCACACCTTGCTCTTGGCCCGGGGGGTGGCGGCAGCAATGGCGGCAGCAGTGGCAGCACTGGCTGTGGTGGTGGCGATGCGCGGAGAGCGGCGGGTCCCGCTGCGGGGGTTGGGCGAGGCTTTGGAGGGGGCTTTCTTCGAGGCTGCCTTCCGCAGAAGGCTGTTCCCAAGCTTCTTGGGTGTGTTGAGGATGCTGAAGGCCATAGACTGGCGGCGGTCAGCCTGTTGGGAAGGGCTGTCAGACCGGGCCACCACTGGCCGCACAGCTGCTCTCGGGCTCAGCTGCCTGGGCCCCTCCAGGTTCTCCCTCAGCCCCTGGCTCACCTGTTTAACCACAGCTGGAGCTGCCTTCTTCTGGGCCTCAACAGTGCTCTGTCTGTGCCCTTCATGTCGGTCCCGGGGGGTCATGGGGCGCGGAAAACAGGTGGTGGCCTTCTTTGACTATGGGGAAGAGAACGGTTAGGCTCAGAGCACAAGAGACAAGTGGACCGTGTCCAGCCAGCACCTGCCTCCCTCCTGCACCAGGAGACTCCCCACTAATAGACTTGAAAACGTGGCGGCCGCCAGAGGTGACAAAAGTCCCAAGTCACCCACCTCGGGTGTGCCGGGACCCTGGTGGGTCTCTGAGGAAACCCGCTTGCGCTGCTGCCGTGTGGTGATGCCGGCGCCCTCAGCTATCTGGGTTGGCTGCATGCTGGCTCGGCGCAGGGTCTCCCGGGGGTCGCCGGTTTTTATCTCCTCGTCTGTGATGGCAGGCAGGCTCAGGGAAGGCTGTGTGGGGTAGAAGCGGTCGGTGGACCCTAGCTGTTTGGAAATGGAGCAGGACTGCCCTAGAACTCCTCACTGGTCGGGCAGCTGGAGCCTTCCTGTTGCAAACGGCTCCCCTCCTGTTGTCTTCCTGCCCACGTCCTGCGCCACAGCCTCAGAAGCCATCCCTGGAGACCTCTGCCAACTCCTGCCCTCCACAGAACCTCCTCCCAAGTTCCTCCCTGTCCGATAGTTGACCAGAAACAGGCCCCGCTCCTCGGCAGGCCGGGAAACTGTAGAGGGATGTCCAGGAGGAAGAGGGAAGCCAGCAGGGGCGGGTCCCTGGCAGGGGACCCCAGAGCTCACCCTGGACTCCAGAGGGTAGCAGGTCTTCAGGTGCGGTGGGCATACTCGGTTGCGCTGCTGCAGCTCTGCAATGCGGTTCCAGTCATCCAGCTGTTCAGGCTCGTCCTGGCAGGTGCCCACATAGAAGCTGTTCCTGCCTGGGGGGCGGGGGGGCGGGGGGAGACAGCAACAAGCAGGGCTGCAAGGCCAGCACGAGAGGGTGGAGGCAGCACCCCACCGGCCTTGGTGCCACCACTCCCATCCTCCTGGCCCTTGAACTGCAGCACCCCAGGGTCCTGCTCTTGTCCATGCTGCAGCTACGGGCACGTGGCTCACAACCATCTAATCTCTTCCCTGGGGACTGGCTCCCAGCCTCCTCTCTGGGGTCCCATACAGAGGTTGTGACACCAGAAGAAACTAATGGAGGGCCAGGAATCCATACCCAAAGCACTCCCTGAAGGCAAGAGCCTCAGAAAGGAATCTGAGGATAGATCCCAGGCAGTCTGGCCCCCCGGCAGCCCCTCCCCACCTGAGAAGGGGCCAGGAGCGCTCCTGGGTGGGGAATCCCGGCCCCACGTGAAGCGTTTGGCTGAGAATGACGTCAGCCTTACTGCCTAGCACAGCCCCTGGGTGAACAGCAGGCAGGGAGGAGAGGGGTGGGTGCTGGATCGCGGCTTGTCCTTTGGCCGTGCCAGGATCTGTCCAGTTTCATGTTCCGGGGTGTCAGGTCCCCACAGTCCTCTCACCTGGAGGGGCCCCACTGGACATCCCAGCCTGGGAACGGCGGGCAGAGCTGCGAGTGGTGGGCCGGTAGCCAGGCAGGCTGAGCAGAGTGGAGTTGCCGTCATCGGGAGAGCCCAGGCGGGCTAGAGACTGGGTGGAGGAGGCGGCTCTCGGGCCGGCCTGGGAAGCAGGGGCTGACTGTGTGCTATAGAAGGAGGAGTTGGCACTGTCTGGATCCTCCACATCCAGCTTCTGGAAGAGAGGACACATCTGCTGCAGTGGGGGTGGGCCCTGACATCCTGGGACATCCCTGGTGCTCACCAGGTAAGACTGAACCCAGTGCAGGGGGGTTCGATCCCTGGTGAGGGAACTAGATCCCACTTGCTGCAACTAAGGCCCCCCGCCAAGCATAGCCAAATACATCAACATAAAAAAAAAAGCCTCCCATTTCCTTTCCCAAAGCGCCTCAGATCCCACAGCTGCCCGTGTCCACACTGCTTTGCACGGGGTCCTCAGCTGCCCGTCTGCAAGAAATGGGCCTTGTTAATCCCACACTAGATGCTGAGACTGTCAGGACTCCCGTCCATTGTTCCGCTGAGTCTATTAACAATGCTCTGAGGGAGGCTGAGCCAAGTGCCTCAGGCTATCTTAGAAGTGAGGTACAGGGGCGTGAAAGGACTGGCCTGAGGGTCACAGAGCTGGGGCTGGACCCCACGTCTCCTGAGCACATCAGGCTTGTTCCACAGGTCCCTCTGACCAAGCGCACCAGGGGACCGTCTTTTAGAACTTCAGTTTCTTGGTAGCTGAAGTGCTCCTCTCCTCTCTTTCCCAACCTCCTGGGCATGTGGAAACAAGGACCAGAGCCCCAGGCAGGCAGGCAGCCCCCTGGGCAGCACAACCATCTGTCACCCTGGGCGCATGCTGGGAGGCACAGGCTGGGCGGCTTCTCTGCGTTGTCCCCTTGAGCCTGCACAGGGTCGCTATTGTACACAGAGAGCACGGTGGCCTATCAGGACAGGCAGCCAAGGCCAGCCCAGCCCCTTTCTACAGGAGGCCAAAGCAAGTCACCGCTCTGCTGCTCTCGTCCGCGGGTGTGGACCAGTCAGCCCTGCCCCTCGGAGGCAGTTTTGGAGACCTGGTGGAGAGAGGCCCTGGAGAGGAAGCAAGCGGTGCTGTCCTACAGCCTCACTCCCAGCAGCCAGACCTTGCTGACCTTGGTCATGGTGATGTTGATGATCTGCGTGGTGCGCCGACGAGCGGAGCGGGTCTTCCGGCTTGAGTCCAGGGAGATGTCCCCCAGGGAGTCCAGGCTGCTCTCCAGGGGGGCCTGACCCCGAGCAGGGATGGGCGTGAAGTAGAGGCTCTCCAGGGACTCCACTTTGGGGGGCAGACGCTGAGAGATGGGGGAGGCTGGCTCTCCGGGGATGCTGGTGCCATCCGGCTGGGTGCGAGGCAACTTGCTGTGGGGAAAAAGCTGCTGAGGCGCCATTCCTGGGGCTACACATTTTGTCCATCCCTTTGTTCCAGTGACACTTACTACAAGACCACCAGGTCAAGCACCCCACCCTCTGATTTTTTGGAGGTACCAAGAAGAGTCCTTGACTGGGGCCCTGTCTTCCATCCTCTCTGTCATTGGTGAGCCCAACCACCCCAT